ACACACACACACACACACACACACACACACACATGCACACTGACACACACTCGTTTCTGTTCAGGACTCACCCTCATGCTTGGTTCCATTGATGTAAAAGGAGATGTCATGGGGATCGCCAGGTCTGTGGGGCAATGATAATGTAGGGATAAGCAAGTACAATACGTAGAAATTGAATTATGAATTACTGTCATTAAAATTCAAAATGAAAAGAAAGGTAAAGCCGGCAATAATGAACACAGTGCATCTGATATCCTATGTACATTATTTTCAGCTTTACATATTTTTCATATTGAATTTTATTGAGAGTAATAATTAATAAAATAATTTCTACGTATACCTGCATATGTTTTTACGGTCCTGCACAGCCAAGAAATAATTCCCCCAGGGCCAATTAAGTTAAATAGTATGTTATCGTATATTAGTATGGCGTATCTGCATTCTAAGCTTTTATCTAAATCTACTTCATGCATAAGCGTACGTAATCTATGAAACAAAGGTGTTTGTTTGTTGTTGTTGCTTTTTTTCGGGGGTTGGGTTGAAACATGTATACTTCGATGTAGTGCTGCTGGTATTGCTGTTATTCATCCATCTGGGAACAGATTTTCATGCTTAATCCCAATATCAAAAGGGAAACGTACGGTACTTGACTTTCATGTTGAAAATCCAGAGCTGGAACTCTGCATGGACAATCCATTACATTAAATCGGGTGGATGTTTTTCAGGGCATTCTTTTCCTCTGCACCTTGTGTTATTTACACGGATACTAAGACTTCACAGGACATTATTATGTTTATAGTAAGCCGACTAGTTTCAGTGACAAAAATAAAAGAAACTTAAGCCTTAGGACTCCTCTGCCATAGTAAATAATAGTGTTAGCAGCTGAAAATTCTTGGTAAATGAGAATTTCAATCATCCAGCCCATCAGTTGACTTGCATTATTTACAATTCATGGTAATGTATGGGAGGAAACAGTTGAAAGTGATTCATTCAGCTTTTATACAAACATCTCTTTCGCAAAATGCATTTCCAAGGGTACGGAAGATGTGTGTCTAAGAGACAGGCAGACAGAGAGTGAGATAGGGAGAGAGAGAAAGAGAGAGAGAGAGAGAGAAAGAAAGAGAAAGAGAGAGAGAGAGAAAGAGAGAGAGAG